TGCAGTAGGCCAGGCACCGACGAGGCTTCGTTTCGAGGATGAAGAGACCCAGCCTCGTGATGACTCGGGCCTTAGTCTACGATGTAAGAAGTGCCGTCGAGCTTTGGTCACGGCACCCTTCATTGTGGAGCACAAGTCCTCTGACAAGAAGTCCTCGGCGTCTACATGCCAGCATTACTTTGTCGAGCCACTTAGCTGGATGCGCGGGGTCCTTGAACAGGGAGAGCTCAACGGAAGATTGTTATGCCCCAATGCAAAGTGTGGCGCTGGTGTAGGCCGGTACGACTGGAAGGGCTTTCGGTGCTCCTGCGGCGGATGGGTGACGCCGGCGTTCTCGCTACAGAAGGCGAGGGTCGACGTCGTCGTCAAGCGGCCGGCGACTCAGAGCATGGGAATCCGGATGCCGCCCGGGCTAGCTCCACGGAGCGGAAACTTGTAAGGACAGGCGAGGGTGGAATTACTATCAACCAATACTACACAAGAGCGCCGCATAAACACCGATTCAGGCCTATGGTACCGATCCGTGCCTTGAGAGACTCGTCCTCCGCGGACCCGTTATTATGTCCGGTGGTTAAGGTATATCGCATACTGCTTGACAGGTCCGTCTGGACATGGAGCTTTGCCCTTCTCGAGATACATTCCGCTCTGGCATGATGCATCTCTCATGGCGAGTGAGCCACTGGGAGAGAGGGAGCAAAAGCCAGCGGGGTACCAGACGGGATAAAAAGCCCTAGGGCTTACAGGGCGTGAGGTGTGCGCTATGGAAGGGAGAAGAGAAAGTGCGTCGAGGTGCATTTTGCATCTCGTCGTGGATAAGCCGGGAGACTCGGGCTGCATGAAGAGGGGATCTTTGCAGAGCAGATGGTTCCTGGGAGACAAAGTCCGACGGAGAGGAAAGGGAGTCCGAGTTCGGGGTCCAGAGAAGACCCAAGGCATCAGCACTAGACCTCGTTGGAAGTGTCGCATCACATTTCTACCTGTCAGAGATCAGATCAACATCCAAGCAGAAGAAAGAGTAACATGCGCACGCCTCTGTCTATACATACAATAGAGCCGTACAGTTCTGCACGAGCAGATCCTTCAAATGCTTAGCTCCATGATTCGACGTCTTGTTGTCTTATTCCCATGTGGATATTCTGCTCCATATCCGCTCTACTTTCAACTATCTAATCTAATCGAGGCAATTCTGATGACAGCCCTAGCTCGAATCCTTCTACATGGCCCGGCGTCTTACATACATAGCTCGATCCACTGCGGAATTCCGACATAGCCCAGCCACTAACTTACTGACTATAGGGCTGATCTCAGGATTGAAAACCATGAGAAAAAAAAGAAGAAATACAGACAATTACGAAACTTGAATACGCTACGCTTACTGATATACCCCGTTTCGCCTTGGTCTGAAACCCACATCGGGCGTAAGCCAGTCAGCACCACCGTCTTCACCTTGGTTGAAGGATTGCACGGGTGTGAGCTTGTATAGCGGGGACATTTGTCCAAAGAGCCCTTTCTTACCTATCGCCATTTGATCTATGATGCGTCAAGGCGGAGAAAAAAGAAGACAGCGCTGTCTTGGCGGTTCCGCTTACGCCCGGCGATTGCCCTTTGGGGTATATACTTGATCTTTATGTCTTACAAGTGGCATTTCAGCCTTTTGAGGATTGCATTTAGCCCTGTAAAGTTGAGCTATCTAAACGCCATGCTTGGCGGGTATAGCTTCGATGTTGGCCATAGCTCCCCTTGTCTATTCTCATGACGTCTTTGCTCGCATCTTGATACCGCTTTTGACCTCGAGGTTACTGATCATGGGGGAGTGATACTGGATAGTACGTATGGACTAGTTGGTTTGCTGGGAGCTAATTAGTTGGAAACTATCTACCCGCAACGTGCCTCATCGACGGGTGCATCTTACTGCATGACACGTTTTTCCCATCTTGGGTTAGAGTGTGTGTTGACAACGAATGTTATACGCAGTCCCTTCAGAGATGCAACGGTGCGAACATAGCAAAGCGAAGGAATATGAACTATCTCTCGGTCTCGTTCACGAACTGACCACTTGAGAGTCAGCCCTATCTTGTAGCCTGCTCATACAAAGTTATTCCAGCAAGGCCCTAGAACAAGGGCAGAGTAGCACTCATCTACGCTCTTCAAACAAGGAGGGGCGTGGTCTCTCATATACACGCCCCTGAAAACGATACCTGCTCGTCTGACAGCATACAAGTACCCAACCTGCGAAGTTCGTCTGTCTATCCCCGAAGGGAAAGGCACGCGTTTTGTTTTTTATCCCTCTCTGACTGCAACCCCAACCCACCGGAAGGATTTGTAGCCGTTAGACCCCTTCAAGAGATCTGCGGGAAGTCTTTTTTTTTTTTTTTTGCCCTTGGGTCTTCGCTGTCAACACCCTTCGGCATTCCCGATTTTATGAAACCTGGGAGAGCATGAAACTTGATGAGAGCGTTTATAGATAGAAACATGAGGGAGGGGGAGCTACTGCATTGCATGGTGTCATACCCTCCGTTGCCGATGAGATTCGGCCTGTGTGGTTGTATTGTATGGGAGCTAGTGCTCTTGTTGTTGTCGCGCCATCACTGTGACGAGCCCGAGCCGTCGGTACTTGGCGCAGACCGCTTCTCTCTCTCAGAGAGAAATACCTATCTTGGAGAGTCACATGTCTCGTTTTGCATGTCTCATGTCAGCCCTATAATCACGCTGTGGAGTATCTATCTTGGACTCGGGGACTACAAGTCACTGACTAAAAAGACCACAATGTGTGGCTTTTGTATCAAGGAAAAAGAATAAATGACGCTATTTCAAATCATGTCATTGCATGCGACGGCATCAAGGACGATTCAGGTCCTTGCAGGAGTAGTGCTCCCAATGCATGTCACTCCCCTCAGCCTTTCGATCATCATGTATATCTGCAGTCATCACCTAGAGAAAAAACCATTCCTCTCTCCACTGCTGTATTACAAACAATAGCATGATTCTAAATTCGTATTCTCAACATGATGAATCCCTCTGACTCGCTCTTCGCTCTGTGTCTCGGATCCGAAGCTCTCAAGGACACCGAGTCTATATGCTTACACCTAAGACCTAGATGCCGTAATTCTGCGGAGATTCCTACAAGGATGTAAGCTACCAGAAATCGTCACCTTGACACCGCTTCACGATGGCTTTTCTTCCTTTTACTTTCCACGCGAATGAGCCATTGGCGAGCCGTCACGATACCCCCTCCATTGGAACTCGACGACAACTGATCAATCAGACCTCGAGACAAGCGAGCATCACATCACCATTGTAATCACAGTACTGAACTTGTATGCCCTCTGAGTGGGAGTTGTCGCGGCTCTTCCAGCTCTTGGATTCCAAGCCCAAAGATGTAAGCACTAAGTAGCTCAGACGCCCCGCACCCTGAGGGTCACATCCCATGGCTTTTCTTGCTATCCTATCCTGTCAGATGTTTTAGAATGCGAGATCAGTACAAGAATCCCATGTAGTGTGTTTACTAGCATCGGGCGAGTTGTGTGTGTGTGTGCACTTCCTACGCTGAGACCAATCATCGTGTTGTTGGTCTGCATGGAAAACTTGAAGACCAATGCAGCTGTTTCAATAAAAGGGCATAATCGTCGGCATAATGGCACGCCAAGATTGGATGTCCTTTGCGCTTGTGGCTTGCGTCGTAACGAAACCGAACGTTGAAAGGTTAGCGTGGTGATGCCGGAGTTTACGGTTAACTGGTAAATCCGTGATATGACTTGCCTTGCCTAAATAGGAAGCCAGTTATGATGAAGAAGTAAACTAAGAGATGTGATATGTAATTGCGAAATCTCTGCAGTTTGTGGAGAGTGGCTTGAGGACGGCGGTAGTGTGTTGGCACACGAGCAGATCAGGGCTCAAAGGACGGGAATTCAGAGGGACAAGTTGGGATGAGAAGCTTGACTAAGTTGTTACAAAGAGTTTGAGATACATGCAGGTTAATTATAGAGCGGCAAAGTAGCTGAGTTGCCACTGAGTTGCAGCGAGATTGTCGATGTAACAAGTGTGAAGAGATATGAGACATTACTCGAGACCACACGTTCGCCTTCACATGGAACGTTTCTTCTGGTGTAATATTTGAGAGGTATTTGGCCTTGGTTTTCAGTTTATTTCCTGGCCTCGGGAGCAAGAGAACATCTGGCCTTGATATAGGGTATTGGAACAAACTCGGCAAAACAACGTCAACTTATACTCGGTTTACTAAACTTATGCTAAGTTACTCAGGCCTTTTTATTATTTAGGATCGAAGTCCTGTCCCCTCCTCCCCTATCCTGGAGTTAAATTTATGCTTCTCCCCTGGAATATAGGAGCCAGTTTGTTCTCAAGTGGTGTTGTTAGTACTACTGAGTCTGTCAACTATCTGACGGCAGGACCCTGAATTCAGGAGTCGTCCATGGCCAATACCAGAAATGCCATTCGGTCTCAAGTTTATATTCGTCATACTCCGTATTGTATTGCTATCGGGTTGTTGGTCGGTTCAGCTTGTAGTCCCGCGTGTACAACGCCTAATGATCGGGTCTCAAGCAGCATACTGTAGTTGTCCCCATTCAGCCGGATATCCAGCCACAATATTTCTCCTTCAAGTGTCGGATTACGCCCTGATAAGATAACAGGAACCGCCGATGGATCACAGCCGTTATTCTCAGCATCACCTGTTGAAGAGAGCCCCGTTGAGAAGGTACCCCTTTCAGGAAGTGATACGTCTGTAGTGCAAAAAAACCCTGTTGTTGTGGTATGTTAACCTGAAATCTGTGGCTCGAGGAAGTTTCATATCCAAGAGCTGCCTCAAGCCCTCAAGTTTAAAGAAGGGCCTGTCGCTCTTCTTCTTTGGATAGAGTGCCTTTGGTGGTTCCTGAGTGTCCCAAGTCGGGAAACCAGGGTGGCGCGGACCTGCCGTCAGACAGCAGAGCCCATTCTATGTCATCAGCGAACCATATAAGGATGCCACGTCTGGAAATACTAACCTAGAAGCAGGCGTCGACGGTCCCCAGCTCTTTCTTGCTGGCGAAAGCGTACTTCCTGAACTTCACGAGGGGATCGGACTTTGGTGGGCGAGGATGATCCCGAAGTCTCTGAATCTCGCATATACCGTCCGAATCAAGACTGATGCGAAGACATTCGGGGTCTTTTAGACGTCGCCGATATAATACTGGTGCGGCGTCGCCACGCTTCCAATGCCAAAGGCGGGAGAGATTTGGGTTGTGCAGAGATTGGCCCGTAGAAATAAAATCTTTGGAGTCCAGTAACTGCACCATATTCCAGAAATAGGCATCTGGACAATAAGATCGAACCATATCAACAAGCTCGATAGGGAGTCGTTGGAAATATTCGATTTGAGCAGCTGCGGCGACCGTCGCTATGGCGGGTGGACTGATACGGCGGGGTCCAGGAATGTCCAGTCCTTTGGGGAAAATACGCATGAGGTCGAGTTTGCGCCATCCCAAAGCTCTCCCGAAGCAGTTGATTTGGGGTTGCGACCGTTGTTGTCCATTGGGCAGAACCACGATGTAACGGAAACAGCCCTCATGAAGGAATGTGCATCTTGTACTTGGCAGGATTGTCATAGTACTCGGTCTCCGAAGAGAAAAATTCTCGGCCTTCCAATCTCCGGTAGGATAATCACCACAGTAAACTGTTAAATCTCAGGTTCTTTCCTTTGAGAGATGAACATGCAACTCACATCGAATCGCTGATCGGTCTGAATCGGTGAACAATACCTGACAGCCATCGCACCGAGTTTGACCCAAGATGATGGACATTGTGTTTGGGAAATAAAGATAGGTAAGGTACTAAGGTAGATGCTATGTCGATGTACAAACTCGAGTATGAATGATCTGAGAAGAGAGTTAACTGAGTAAGGTAAGTATTTTTTATCATTCAGGATAGAGGTCCCTGCCCGAGCTGTCTTTCCTCCCTCGGGGCGAAAGGAATGGCATGCGTGATGAGAGAAGGACAAGTACTTGTTCCTGCCGCCGAAGTTCTTCGCAGAGATAAGGTCCAATAATGGTTCCATCCTTGCCCCCAAGAAAACTCAAGACTGTTAGAGGATGCTGAAATGAACCTAAGGTACCTGAGGTAGGTAGTCAGTACTCCTGATGTTCACGAATCCTCCATGAGGGCTTGTCGTAGAACCGAATATCTTGGCACAAGAGCTGTGAATATATCAAGTCAAACCTACATCGCCGCCCTGGCACGACAGCCACCGCCCAAAGGCATCTCTGATCTCCTACAGCACCAACACCAGCAGCGCCGTCTCCGGTCATCGACTAGGCGCATCAGAGGGCACAGACGGAAAATACCCAGGCTTTGACGCTCGTTCCCGATCAGCCTTTGCGGCTTCGGCTTGTCGCTTCTTCAGCAATCTTTGCTGGTAAAACGCCCTGCTTCTGTTAGCTTATTGACTCCTGGGCGAACAAACAACGTACGCTTTCAGCTCAAACACACGAGGCTCTTCCTCAGCGGGTGGTGTTTTGTCTTCCTTGTCCTACACAGTTAGTCGTGCAAAGAGCAATTGGAGTATATACTCACCTTGTCTTCATCCTTCTTCTCATCCTTCTCCTCCTTGTCTTTCTCCTTATCCCCATCCTTTTCCTTCTTATCCTTATCCTTCTCCTTCTTTTCTTCCTTTTCTTTCTTCTTCTTCTGCTTCTCCTCATACTCCTTCTTAACCCTCTCCTTCTCCTCCTCTAACTCCTTCTCCCTCTTCCTCTTGGCAGCCTCCTCATCAATCTTTGGCGTGCAAAAGTACCGATCCTTGAGGTGAACCGGACAAACAAAGAAGAAATCCTACCAATACCAATCACATAAGTTTGAGCTTACAAAGGGATCAGCTGTATTTGCTTCTCGTGTTAGTATCGCGCATACCTTTTGATCAGGTGTGATTAGCACTGAGGTGCTTGACTTGTAGCAAATATCGCATGCTTTTGCTGCGGTGTCAGCAACCTTGCGGAGCGTGTAGATGTTCGGAAACGTAGTCGCCATGATTGTGATTCAGAATCGACAATATTGTAAGACAAAAAAGATTTGTTTGTTTACTACGGCACCTGACGGCTCGTATCACATGAGGTTCGGTGAATAAGGCTGGGCTGGGTTGGGTTTCGCGGGGAAGTGCCCCGTCCGACTTTGACGTCAGCATCTGATAGGGCGGAGCACCCCCTGAAAGGTTTGACAACAGCGCCTGTAACCCGCCAAAACTAGCGCCAGTCCCTGACTAATAAGCGCCCGCCGTCATGAATCGCTCGCTATCTTATCGCACTTGCAGGAAATATGATGACCTATGCATATCCGATCGCCACAACCAACTCCAAACCATTCTCTTTCACCCAATTTTTCAACCCCCAATCTTTTTAAAAAAGCAGTGATACAATTCACGAAAAGAAGATTGGATTCAGTCATGAGCAGAATGCTCGATACGGAGAAGCTGGGTTCGGTATTTGGAACCCGGCCGGATATTGTTGAAGGAATTCAGGTACTAGCTGGTAAACAATACCCCTGAAGATGTTTTATTCGCGAAATACTAACTCTGGAGTCTAGATACGCCTGGTCGAATCGCTTTGTTCAACGCAATTGCAACTCATGTTTATGATCAGTTGTTAAATGGGGGTAGCGAGCCCGCGCATAAGAAGAGAAGAGTTGATGCTCAAACAAACGGAGCCGCGAACGGTACAAAGGCTGTTAAGACCGAGACGAATGCCGCAGACGAGGCTGTTCTTCTCGAGATTAAGGAGATTTCAGTTTCCGTACCCCAGAGGAAGAAGTTTGAGTTGTGTTTTACTGACGGCCACATCTACGCTCGCACGCCAAACACAGCAGCACCGATTCCAGCTATAACCTACGCGTGGTCAGACATTGGTACGCGTTACCGCATTGTTGTTATGGGTTCCGTGCTAATCTTTCGCCAGAATATGTTTTCTACCTCCCCGTACCCGAAAAGAACCAGGTCCAGCACAACTATGTCATTTTCCCACGAGGAACATGTCTCCCTTCCAAGACGAACCCCCCGACCGAAGAGCCACTCGTGTTTACAGTTCCCGCGACCCCGCCCAAGCAGGGTACGATAGGTGGACCTGACGCTGGAAGCGCGGCTGCAGTTTCGGACAATTACAAGTCTTTGTTCCACTGGGCTTTGAACCGTCATCTCAAGCCCAATGGCATCAGCATTACTTCAGCCGACCCCAACAAGTTCCAGAGCATGATTCGACAGCCCCATCGACCAAGCGAGAAAGCCGTGCATGTCAAGGCCTTCAGGGGTTCCAAAGATGGGTACCTTTTCTTCCTCGAGAACGGTATTCTCTGGGGATTTAAGAAGCCAATGATGTTCATTCCCCTGAGCCGAATCGCTGCAACGAGCTACACCAACATTCTTCAACGAACATTCAACATCGCAATCGAGGTCTTTGCGGGCGAAGGTGATGCGACCGAAGAAGCTGAGTTCTCCATGCTGGACCAGGAGGACTACAGTGGAATCGACGATTACATCAAGAAGCACCGTCTCCAAGATCGTAGCATGGCCGAGCAGCGAAAAGCCAAACTTGAGCTCGCAGAGAACCGCGGACCCAAGAAGAATGGCGAAGAGGCTGGAGACGATGCAGCAGCAGCTACTGGCATTTCCGAACTTGCCAAGGCCGAGCTAGACGCTGAGCAAGCGCTACAGGATGAAGAAGACGAGGATGAGGAGGACTACGATCCTGGAAGTGATGCGGATTCTGATGGCTCGGGAGAGTCCGATGATGATGATGACAGTGACGACGATGAGGAGGACGAGGAAGACGAGGATGCAGAGGGAGAAGCCGAAGACGGAGATGAACAAGCTGAGGGCGATGAGGAAGAGGAAGAAAAGCAAGAGGAGGTTAAGCAAGAGACAAAGCCGGTCAAAAGAAGCCGCAAAGCTGCCCCTCAGCCAACAGGATTTGTACCAGCACCACCAAAGCCCGCCAAGCAACCCGTTCAGCCGCCCGTCGTAGTGACAGGCTGGGCAGCACTACGAAGTGCTGTTCAAGCGCCACCCCGCGGAAGTATGGACTTGGACGAGGAGAAGTTTGATGTTGTCTAATGATGCGGGGGCATGTGCATACCTATGTAACAATACACTTGGCGGGACATGAATGACGGCGGTGTACACAGCATAGGAGTCGAGGAACATGAATACTATCAGTACTACAGGAATACTACTCCACCATGTGCTATTGATTCAATCTTATCCATGTCTGAACTGAAGGGGCAAAGAAAGTCTCGGCAACATAGGAGGTAGTAAGGAGACCCATGGTATCATTCCACCGGTGAACTTCAAAACAAGCCGCTTTTCCTCGTCTTATCCTCGATCCTGACCTCATCCCTATTCTCATCCTCACTGTTGGGAGGCGAAAACTTCAACGCGACCACTTCGGTGCCACTGAGCAAGAAGTATCTTACAACTGCCACAGTGATGATAAACATCCTTGAGCGAGGAGACGAAGTAGGGTACCCAGGCCAGTAAAGCGGCGGATCCAATGACTAAGGCCAAGGCCACAGCACTGAATATGTGTGTCAGGAACAGATCTTTTTCAAGGAAGGCAAGGGCAAACTCACTGAGTGACACCACCAGTATGCACTTGTGTGATAGTCATGGCCCTTACTCCACACTTTGGGCAAACGACTGTTGCGCTCACACTTTTCAGTTGATTGAGCTGCGCACCCAGGAAGCCCTGCTCTTTCGGCTCTCGCTCCAAGGGATCTTTGTGGTCATCTCCTTTCAGATGTGTCGGTGACGAACTTGTAACTGGTGGTTGGGCGAGCGGTGAGCTGAATTCGATGGACCTTTTGCTTGAAGGCCTTTTATTGTCGTCCTCGAGGGAGTGATGAGCGTGATGCTTATGATGCTCGGGATTAGGTGCTAGACCTCGTCAGCAAGATGACCATGTACACGCACGAGGAGCGAAACGTACTAGGATGCTCCATTGTGAATGCGGATATAGGTGCAGCGGCTGATAAGATGAGATCTGAATCTGGTGTCTTTCAACGCCGATGAACTGTCCAGTTCTTCACAAAGAAGTCTGCGAACGGATAAGGATGATGATGAAAGGATGATGTTGGAGTTTTCCGAGTTCCATTGCGACAAGTCCAAAGGTAGTCACCCATCGCTCATGATCAAGGGAAGAACCTAGCACGGCAGGAAAGTCCTCTTCTCGTCAACTTGGAGAGCAACGAACGGAAGGTGGCCCCCAAAATTTTGAGAAAGAGGCAGTGATGTCACGAATGAAGCTGACCCGCGTATTATTCGCTTCACGGAAAGTGATGATCACAACATGAAACTTGCAAGTCGTGCTGGCTTACAAGAGGAGGAAGGCGAAAGGGCGCAGCTGAGGTGTATCAAGGCGAGATGAACATAAAGCTCATAAAAGGATCTATACCTAAGTTGTGTGTTGTAGGGATTGTTATAAGGTGCAGTGGTGATCTCCGTGGTCGATGGACCGAACGATCAGTACTGGATATCAGAACCGTGAGAAATTTCGGTCAAGTTGAAGAACTACGTGTGTCCTTGTTGTTGTTAGTATGCACAATTAATTCGTATTGAACAATGCAATGTTGATTGTTGCAAACCCTCTCATTTTGTACTGGGCTGTTGATGGAAACATGCATTGCTGGTTGAGGTTGTGTCAGGGCATCAAACCACGCAGTCTACGCAGACAAGACAAAAGAAACAATATATTCAGTGATGCCAGTCCGGTCAAGTTCAATCCACCCTCGAAGCAGAGAAACTGTCTCATCCTCTCCATCTCAAGATGTCCATCCATGCAACTTCACCCCAAGCTCTTATCTTATCACCAATCTTATCACCATCTCCACCACACGTGACCCCTTCCAAACTTTCCACTCCTCCATAACCGCATCACGACCTCAATCGCCTGGCGATATCAATCAATCCAATCCCCCCCGTCCAATCCCTCCAAAATGACAGGCCGACACAAAGCAATCCGTCTTCCACCTCTCAAGACCCTGCGCGTCCACAACCCCAAGCGCCAGGTCGAGAACCCCTGCATCGCCATCATGTCCAGCGTTCTCGGTAAAATCCCCCTCTCCCCCACGACTCAATTCACGATTGAAAGCCATGTCACTGACAGATTACAGCATGCTGGGCTTCAGCAGGCTACAACGCAACGGGCTGTGCAGCAGTAGAGAACCAGCTCCGCAAATGCATGGACGGTCCGGCTCCTCCTCCCGCCGGCACGAATACGATTAACTACCATCTCGCACGAATGCAAAAGTACATGACCGGGCCGAGGAAGCAAAAGTAGATACAGATACAGAAAACGAACAAGAAGAAGAAGAGTTATGCATTTTGGGCGTCGGAAGCGCTGCTTTTGCTGGGTAGGGATTGGATTCGAGATATGTACAACAATACCCGTAGGGGGAATAGAAGGGCGAGATGTATAAATATCGCTGTACGATACAGTTACAAGTACAATTCAAGTCATGACAATTTGAATCACTACAAGCTGGTGTTCATATGGATAACAAAGTTACGGACTCATGGACACAACTTCACGATATTCGAGACGAAACTGTTCATTCAAAGTGTTTGCATTTCACTACCTCGCTCTGCACAACACTTAATACTCAAATCGACAACTCTACCCATCATAAGGCGCACACCCAATGCCACAAGTTTCCCACATCCACCTCTATGCGCACGGGGGGAATCACACCCAAAAAGGCAAAAAAAGGAACGACAAACCCGAATCTTGACGAGACAGACACAAAAAAAAAAGAAGTTAAATGAGAAAGAACGAGAAAATCAGGAGAATGATGATAAACGCCCCCATTTCTTAAAAGTAGCGCCGGATCCCATGAAACTGTGCTGTAAGTGACTGAGAAGATGAATGATCCCGGTTGAAGAAAACAGCTTTTCATCTCACAATAGAAAGGACGCATACAATGCGAATGAGTCATTTCTATGCAAGAAAGGAGAAGCCGTCCCGAACCAAAAAGAAGTCTTAACCCAAGAAAAATAATGTCCATGGGACGAATGAGTGGCTTGAGTAGGCGGTGTTTTTTTCGTTAGATGGTGACGATAAAAGAAAAGAGATGTGTTCGAAAAGTCGAGTTCGCTTGCCGTCTATATGATAATGTATCGGCCTTGCCCAGTCGTCCAGACGCCCTTGGTCGTTATCGTGCCTTTGATCATGGATGGTCTCTTCAAGTAAATGTATGAATGTTGTTTTGTTTTCCGTGCGCCGAAAAATGCGGTTAATGATCCGTGGGTATCCTAAGCACAATGCACCATTTCTGCCTCCTCTCCATGAGTGTGCGCCTGTGAGAGGCTGTCTAGGAAGTGCCACCGACGCAGAAGAGCTCTATCTCTCCTACGCCTCCAGAGTACATGTTCCTGACACCTTCGCGCCACTCCATGAAGGCGATCTGGATATCATCATCGCCTTCGATGGCGACAAAATCACCGTCTTCGTCGCGGTATCGAAGCTTGAGCAGGCCCTTGCTGATACTGCTAGTAGTGAAGCGGGCGAGCTTGGCGTCAATGCGATCAACAAGAGACTGATAGGTAATGTTGAAAGCCACGACCAGGGTGACGTAGTTTCCTGCCTCGCAGTTCACTCGGACCTTGAGCTGTGTTGGGAGGGGCATTTCCGGACTTAGAGGGTTCGAGTTTGGTGGCATTGTTGCTGTACCAAGAGCGGGGGACACTGTTCGTGAGTTGGCGGCAGCAGCGTCGACACGAAGAGCATTGCCTCCAGCACCGGGTGTCATTGATCGTGGATGAACTGGTTGTGATGGGAAGTGGTTCATGCTGCCGCCCACACTGCCGGTGTGCTTGTGCATGCGCTCTCGCTGAGCGCCTGGGCTATTGGTTTGAGCCCGGGTTGGCTGATCATTTCTAGGTGAACCTGTTTGCTCCCGGCCAATACTGGGGTTGTGGCCAGGATGCAGGTGTTGAGGGATGCCAGGAACCGCTGGAATATTTCCATGGCTAGGCTGTCGTGTGCGTGGCATTCCTGGTCCGTTAATATCAGGAGTGCTGTACGAGCGGTTCCTCTGTTGAGCAGCGAGAGCCGCCTGGTTGTTTGAGGCCATTGCTGGCAGAGAAGGCCCTCGAGGGTTACGTCCATGAGGGTTCGGTGAAGGGCCATCCCGAGAGGGAGCGCGTGGCATGGCGGGTGCGGTGTAGCGGTTGCCGTTCCCATCCTCCCATGTTGGCTGAGGAGTGGCACTCTTGGGGAGGCCATATTGGGGTGTTGTAAACATTCCACTGGCTGTACTGGTTCTTGATGATGCTGGCGATTCGGTGACAGGAGAGAAATAGCTATCACCCGCCCAGGCGCCGGGTGAGTGGGCACCATTTGCGGCTGTCTGGAGGCTAAGAGATGCAGGAGGTGCTGGTAGAGGGAACCGAGGCGGAGGCGCTCTCACCATACCGGCCAGTGAAGCAGAGCTCTCTCCGGTTCCGGCTCGAGCGCGAAGGTTACTGGTTGAAGCTGTTCGGGGCACGATGCCTGCAGGTGGTCCATTATGGTACCCAGCGGGTGCTGTTGCTGGGCCGAGGTCTTCATCGTCATCGTCTTCCTGCAGGTATGGATTCTCCAGTCCAGCCCCATGCTCTCGTGTCCAGGCAAAGTCGGTTGAAAGCGAGTCTGAGTTCGAAGATTGGCGCGGCACGTTGTGCTTCCTCTGAGTCTCCAGAGTCATCACCCATTTCCTCAAAGTCTCTTCGTTCAAGAACTTGATGACAAAGTTCTCAACACCGGGGTCTCCCTTCCACCATATCTGTACGCTGTGGTTGCCTTCCGAAAGTTAGTTGTGCCGTTTACTCAGAGTTTCATAACTCACCTGGCTTAGAGAAGGACACAATATCAGTCACATTAGTCATGAAGATCCTGCCTTTCAGCTGAAGCTTGGCACTCTTGTTCCGCGTCTTGGTACCAGATGACCGAAGCTTGTCCTTCTTATCCTTGCTCTTGCTTGATGAGATCTCCTTGCAGCACAGGAGAATAGACTCGAAAAGGTAGATTTCGTACTTTTCAAGGTTAGTGTCGAGCCCCTGGAATCTGGCCAGCAGACTTACATCCTTCTCTTGATCTGTCTTTCCGGTGATCACACCATACACGCCATGCAGGAGAAGTTTGCCAAATTGTTCCACCTTGTGGCTCTTCCAGTCCTCAACTCGGCTTGTAAGGTCCTCAAGAGCCTCATCAAGCAAGTCACGGTTAACGGCTTCGTTAGCCTTCTTCAGCACTCGCTCGGCGGCTTCGCAACCACTGGTCAGATCCAGCTTGATTTCATCATCCTCGGTCTTCTTGTTCAAATCCTGCCATGCATTAGCTATCGAATGTCGAAAGAGCGCGATCAACCTACCTTGAGCAACAAAGGATATTTCACCAGTCTTTGCATGGGCTTTAGCAGAAAACCATCCAGGGTATTGAAGTCCGTTGCCACGGGGTGTGAAGAGCGTTGAATTTTGTCAAAAACCTGATTCGCAACCATAGCCGCCTTACGCTGGTTGGCAATAAAAGGCTGGTAAATGTCGAACGCATCCTCGTACATAATGAAGGGAGCACCCCATCGTTGGGCGTCAGCGGACATAGAGTTTGTTGTCTCTACTCGAATCAAAAAGCGGCGCTGGAAATCGAGAATGGCGTTGATGTTGAGGAAGATCTGATGGAGGGTATCGCCAGGAATCTCGCCTTGTTGTTCGAGTGTCTTCTTCAAGTCGTGCAGGTTCTCCAGATCTTGGACGTATTTTCGCTCAGTGTCGACAAGTTCACGGATGATGTGGTCTCGGTAGGTCATCTGTCCGCCCGTGGGCTCGTTGTTTCCATCCCCGGATTCTGGTAAAGGTTGAAGGAGATAACCGCGCTCCTCTGCTCGATCCAAGACGTAATTAACAACTTGAGTCACCTATTTCATCACTTTAGCTTAGTCTACACACCAAGGGCGATATCTACCAA